CACACACACACACACACACACACACACACACACACACACACACACACTGCTCATATTCAGCCTTGAATAATAATCATCACCACCAAAATAAAAAGATGGAAAAATTAAATCTCCCTCTGATGTGGTGAAATTCATCCTCTGGCCCGAATCTACAGCAGGAGGAGTGAGATGTTACCTGTATCTAGAAAATGCTATTTCCATCTCTCTGGCTTTGTGTCTTCTATATGTGTGTGTGTGTGTGTGTGTGTGTGTGTGTGTGTGTGTGTTTGTGTGTGTGTGTGTATATGTGTGTGTGAGTCGGGCTCGGCTAAATGAGACCCCAGAGGTTTTTAGTCTTACAGCCCGAAGCTTCCTGCACACACATTTAAATGTGTGTGCAGCTCAAGTATGGAGGCAGCGGCTTCCACATGATTGGGATGATGATGATGAGGAGGAGGAGGAGGAGGAGGAGGGACAAGAGGCCAATAACAATGATGACTGGGATAATCGTGCAGTAGATGAGCAGCGTAGGAAAGAGGCTGAAGGTGATGAAGAGGGTGAGGATGATAATGATGATAAGCAGGCTGATGGATGAAGGTGATATCGATGAGGATGATGATGGCCAGGGGGATTACGTTGAAGATGAGCAGGATGAGGATGATAATAATTATGACTGTAAGCAATGATGTCGTACGTAAGCTTAGTAACAGAAGTATGAAGGAGTGAGACAGCTTGAGGAGCTATGTGAGAACTTTAACCAGCAAAGATGGAGAACTCAACCTAAACAAAGAGGTCAGAGAGTAGAAGACATCAGCTGGTGGTCCAGTATTTAGAGTCCAGATATAAACATGTATCTGTGTAACGTTCCACCAGAGAGACATCAGGAGCTACAAGTCACCAGATGATCAACTCTGTTCTCTGTGTTCATGAACAGAACGTCAGACACCATGAAGACACTCAGAGCTTTCACTTGATTCAGCTTTAAGACACAGTCCAGTGGTAGTCAACACGGTTAACAGCTTGAAGCTGTAGACGCTGCTGGTGTTTCAGTTTAAAGGGTGACCGTGTTAACTGGTGACTCAGCAGCACGTGTAGATGTCATCGTAAAAGACTTCAACCAGTTTTAAATATCTGTGTTTATTATCGTAAACAAACATTTACGTGACGAGCAGCCACGGAAGCATTCGGCTGAGAGTCACCAGTTAACACGGTCACTGGTTAAACTGAAACACCTGTTGCTCTGAAACGGTCCTGATAGAACTTGAGTCCGTTGTTGGAATATCGACTCTGACAACCGAACATGAAACAATCAGACATTCAGATGCTGTTTACTGTTTTAAATCAATGTTTAAAGCTCGATAACTCGTCTGATGTTGCCAACATGCACATTTATTATGGCGTCGGCTGTAAAAGGAACCATCACCTTTAGCGCAGAGTAACTGTTAAATCAATAATACAGGTTTCCTCAAACACAGTAACGCCTCCAAATCCCCCAAACGTCTGCCCAGTCATTGTTTTGAATCTCTTCTCCGAGTGTCAGAGCATGAGGACTGAGCTGGGAGGACGTGTGGATTTGGAGATCTTTTGGGTATTATAGGAGTATCAGGGAGTGTGTCTCTGAGTACTTTTCTGATGTACTTCTACAGCCCGAGGACATTTGACCTGAGAATTCATAAAAAGAATAAACCTCTGAGTTATTTTTCCTTCAAACACTGGCTTTAAATTCAGTATTTCTTTATATTTAAGAAGGAAACTCCTCGCAGGTCAACACGATGACCCCAATTTTCGAGATCTTTGACGGATGAATAAAAGATAAAAGTGGTGGGGGGGGGGGGGTATTCCTCACAGGTGGAACCGCTCCTGCCTGACCTCTGACCTTGTTGTGTGCTGTGTGAAAGCGAGGAGGAGGTGAAAGTCCTTACTGATGCAGGCTCCGTGCCAGCCGTAGTGTCCCCGGGGACAGTCGGAGACGCAGTGGTCGCCCAGCAGCCAGGTCCTCGCCGCGCTGCACCACAGACAGACACTGCCGGCGGCCGTCTGCAGGTCGGCCGCGCAGCGCAGACAGTCAGAGCTGCACTCTGCAGGGACACACACACACACACACACACACACACAGGAAATGAAGGCTTGTCTTATATTTTTCGTCATCCCACGTGTAATACAGACAAACATCATAGTCACACAGGTGAGATACCACGTAACCAAAATAAAATGCCTGATAAAGTTTGTTGAATTTTCTTTTTTTCCACACTGCAAACATCTAAGTGAGTTAATACCAGTTTGGACTGATTGATTCTTAGTGATTCTTCCAGTAATGTTCATCCTGCATCATCTATTATTGTGAGGATACCAGTCTTCATTAATACAGCACAGATTAAACTGATAAACAAACTTATTTTTGGTCTTAAGGTGGAAGTTAAGAACAAGATGACCACATCAAGTTGAGCAGTACATGTCATGACATTTACAGGATCTAGAGATTTCGGTCTCAATCTCTGTTGTTTTTGCTCAAGTTAAAATAAAAATAGTCCATTCATCATTTTCAACTCCGCACTAATGTTTCTTCAGTTCAACTCGTGATCTTCATCATCGTCATCGTTTGACACACGTAGCGACAGAGAGAGGCCAGAGAGCAGATGAATCTTTGAAAAACAAACCAGGACTTTTATGTACTCAGAAGAACCTTCTGATCTATATTTACTTCTTCTAAAATCTGTTTACTCTTAAAATGCGTTGCCTGTGGGGATCTTCTTGAAAGACAAACAGAAACAACAAGAGAAGACAATTATGCAACAGAAACACAAGAGAAACATTCATAAAAAGATGAAGTTATAATGAGGACGTCTCATCTATACGTGCTGGGATCGGGTGTTAAGTTCACTAATTAAACCTCAGACATGATTCCTTTGTGAGAAACAAAATCAGAAAAGAAATCTATCAACTCTCAAACTCTCAGATCTCCCTCCATCTTTTAGACCGTGCTGCCGAGATCTCTATCTGCAGAGGAACCAGCAGAACATCGGGGCTCTGCGGGCGAGGAGGCGTGAGCATAAGTGGTAGAGGTAGAGTTTATACTTGTTTAAAAGACAAATGAGAAAAAGAAGATTTTTAAATGTATTAAAAGGCAAAAGTCATTAAATAAAAGAAAAACCTGCACTTGGAGCGACCTGAATCTGTAACCAAGTGATGGAGGGATGAATAAGAAACAGAGAGCAGAAAAGAGAAAAAGCTTTTTCTGTTCCTCTCTGACATGAAGTGAAGGAGTAGGAGTTGTGTTTGACATCTTTGCATGTTATATTTAACTCCCTGTTTCCATGGCTTGGTCAAATAGACGTATTCATACTTCAGACTGCTTCTTTCCATTGTTTCAGTTTCTATAAAGAAAATATGCAGAACTGGAAGAACTGGAGAATAAGCTACATTTAGGTTCATGTCAGGAGGACTTTACATATATTCACACTTAGATGAACATGATTTCCTGGAGAAGCACAATTTTAAACACACAAAAAGTGTGGCCGACATTTAACTCCGACATTATTTCTGACTCCAGAGCAGCAGATCCTCCTGAACCAGGTGAGTCTCCAACATCAACAGACTAAAAGAAGAAGAAGAAGAAGAAGAAGAAGAAGAAGAAGAAGAAGAAGAAGAAGAAGAAGAAGAAGAAGAGCTTCCTGTCCTGTCCCATCCACACCTTTTATATCACATCACATTACAACAAAACCCGTCTCAGCGTTCCTCCTGCAGGTAATCCGGCTCCACGCTGGAGACCAGATAACTCAGGCGTCGGGGGATTATTGACTGTGCAGACTAAAAATGAATATAAAACTGAAATGGTATTGATTCGGGTCCTCTGAGTCCCCCTTTATCACGCAGTTACCAATTCTTTGAAGCACATAACAAGGTATTGTGGAGATATAAATGCACGGCACGCAGACTGGATGATGGTATTCTCCTGTGGGCCAGATTTATTCCAGACATTATCCAATACCTCGCTTTCCTTTCACATTTTTATCCCCCTGCATCCGAAATATATAAAGCAGAATCCCTTTTAACGAGAGTCACGCAGGAAAATAAAGACCCTAATGTCTCTCAATTAGTCGCTTCCTGATAAAAAATAAGAGAAAAGGACTTGAGTCTGCGAGTGCGAGTGCAGCAGAAGTTGAGAAAGCGAGAGGAACTAAAGTGGGACACGTTGTTCATTTGAAGTTACAGGCGTAAGAAGAGACGCTGTGTGGTCCTCTGACGCCGATGTCACCCTGTCTAGACATGCTGCCCCCACAAAAGGAGGATTCACACATGCAGCTATTAAAGCAGCCCGACTCTTCCCTTCACGCTCAGCTCTGAATCACTGTCGGCTCCGTCCCCGTCCCAAAGGAAAAACACAGGACAAGGCAGTTTTAAATGTCAGATAAGGGAGGTAGCTCCACTCTGTCACTCACACAGAAAGGCCCGCATCAACGTGGACCAGATGCAGAACAAACAACGGGAGGGAGCACACGACGACGATGTCAAAGTGTTCACGTCATGTGCGGAATATTAGAGAAGCCACATATTGAGCTGCGATTAAATGTAATAGGAGGCGAATACTTTTCAGAGAGGACACACGTCTTTCTACACAGAAGTATTTCCTGCTCCCATCTCCTGCACATCTCAGCAGCTCACCCCCTGATTACCATCCTTCAGAGGCGCTGGTGGGCTCAAAGCCAGCGTGCAGATAGCTTGTCTGGAAAGGGGTGGAACTTATGCTACAAGCTGAAAATGGGTTCTATGGTACCCTCGAGTCTCCTCTTTACAGATATTCACATTCTATTTGAATACTTGACGAATGCGGAGACTCTTGTGGATCTAACGAGCCCAGCTGAACTCATGTGTGATGACATTAGTCCCTCCCGAGAGGAAACCTCACTGTAAATGTCATGTTGTGACCTTTAGGATGATCACAGCCTCGTGAAACTTAACAACCACAAACTAGAGACAGGAGGCTTTCAGAGGATGTATGACAATAAGGGGGTTTACAGAACAAAGCGCTCACCATCATATTGACAAAAGAATGTCATTCTTTGGAAGAAATCTCCAAATGTCAAAAGTGTTTGATACTAAATCACAGCTTGGGTTTGTTCTCTGGTGTTCCTCGAGGTCTTGGTGATATTTTTAAGGGATTTGTGATCATTTTGATCAACTCTCGAGTGGTACAATTGTTCTTTTTTAAATTAGTATCAAAATCTGTGTGTCAAATGATGTCAATCCCCAAGTTGCTGTAACAACTGTTAAGACAGAATAGATTGTGTCATCACATACGTCTATCATAATGCTCTAAAGCCCTTTTACACTTTATTACTGATTCATGACGAGAACCACTTGACAGACAGCGAGCTACATCTCAGATGAATCACCAGGTTCCCAGCTGTCAGGTGACGTATAGAACACTTCTATGTTGACCTGCTATCTCCCCCTAAAGACCCCCTGTCCCCCCTAAAAATGTGTCTCTCTGAGGGTTAAACTCATGATCAGTGGGTTTGTTTCACTCCTAAAATATCCATTGAGATATATTCTTTGTTTAGTTTACAGCCAGCAGAAGTACAGCTCCACATGTTGTATTCCTTTTCTGTTTCTATGAGGTACAAAGATTAAGGAAAGACGAGTTACTACGACCGGTTAGTCGAGTAACACTCAGCGTTAATACGTTATGAATGCATTAAAGGAGACATGGACGGCTGCTGGTGCTGAAGGAAACGACGTCTCTTAAACACATGATGCTCTTCTTTCTTGTTTCTATGGTGATGCATTTTTGTTATCCAGCATGCGGGTCTATTTTAAGCTTCGTATGTTAAGTGATGACTCCAACGCAATTAAGAAGCAAAAATAAATGAACTGGCGTAGAGCTGTGAGTCTCTCTCTCTCTCTCTCTCTCTCTCTCTCTCTCTCTCTCTCTCTCTAAGGAGACAAGAGGAGAGACAGAGGGAGGGTGAGAGGGCTAAACTGTGTCTCTGCAGCTGACATCAGTCCTCGATGTGAGACTCACATCTCAGGCTTCCAGTCTGAGATGATGAACAACAGTAGAAATTCAACAAGACAACGAACAAACCCGTCAAACCTAAAACCAGACAAACAGCCGGGATCAGGTGTTTAATCACATCCCAATACAAGACTAATAAGAGACGCTATCAATGTGGTGCGATGGGAGATTTATACAACCCAAGAAGGGTTGCCACATCTTGTAAAATGTTCTCCTCTTATACCTTAAAAGATATACTCTCTAAAGGTATACAACTATTCATTTCCATTTTAACGCCATGGCCAGCAGAGAGTTCTGTGAGCTTCATCGCGTGGTTATTTAAAGGTTGGATTCAGTAGAGTTACCGGATAAACAAGTCTCCGGGTCCAATAGAAGGTTTTGATCACATGGGCGTTGTTTACAAGGCGGGGCTTGAGATTTACACCAGATCTTTTGGGTTGTCTGTTGACGTCTCCCTTACATTAGGCTCAAGTTATTGTGTTTACACCCAAAACAACCTGCACAGGTAGGTGAATGCATTTCAGACAGAAGCCTAACTTTTTACTTCAGTCGATTCCATTCAACCAGGAAGGACAGAGGCACCTGCAGCCAATGGGAAGGTTCTCAATCTCCAGGATGGGAACCACCGCAGAGGGGAAACTGCAGTAGGATGACGGTGAAATTCTAACATATGCGTCAACAAGTCAGTCAGAGATCTGAAAATATCGGTTCATGTTGATGAATTATTCATAATCTGTGTCAGAGTAAAGCAGGATTGACTGTCTGAAGAGCGGGTATCTGTTTACTGAGGTAATACATCAAGAGAGAAGTAGAGTCATTCTCTCATAGATGTCTGTACAACCAGAGGAGTCGCCCCCTGGTGGACAGTAATGCAGCTTTAAGACGCTTCAGTATTGGCTTCACTTTTCAGAACCGGAGGTTGCGGCCTGTCTCAGACACGTCAATATTTCCCATCATTCTGCTGGGACTGCTGTCATAATACTGCAGCCAGGCTCAGTCAACATCCAGGATAATGACACATGGAAATGGAAAGAAAGCTAGCGGAGCCGACCCACTGGTGTTTACACAGGAAAGAAGCAATTACTGGGTTTCTTACTGGGCCAACAACAAACGGCTTTTCATTACTACTATCTCTGCTCCAGTCTCCAATAGATGTGGGCCTTTCTGCAAAAAGCATAAATCACAAATGAGCAGCGGTTCCGGACCGAGTGTGATGGCTCCGAACAGTTTAAGGGTTTAGATAACAGTGTTTTTAAAGACAAGCGCTTGTGGAATTTGTCAAATCACCTGGCTGCCTGTGTAAAGTATGAGCGATGAGGCCGCCGCCGCCGCCGCTGTCGAATGGAAATCGAATAAGAGGAGGGGGACGAGACGGAGAAAGTGAGACAGACGGGATGAGAGTGAGAGACAGACGGGATGAGAGTGAGACAGCCAATAGTGAGACATCTGCCTCTGATGCTCTCGTACGTGAACTCGTGATTGAGAGCGGAAGCCTCATCGCCTTAAGAGGTTATGTAACAGAGAAGGTGTAATCCAAGGCGTGTGTGTGTGTGTGTGTGTGTGTGAGAGAGATAGAGTGGGTTTGCATGACAGAATAAATTGTAGAAGGATAAAACAAGAAAGTGAAGGAGGGATAAAATATGTGTCTGTGTGTAAATCTGTGTGTAACTAAATTTGGGTTTGAGAGAGAGCTTAGTGTATATATAAATGTGTGTGTTTGTAAGAGAGAGAGAGAGAGAGAGAGAGAGAGAGAGAGAGAGAGAGAGAGAGAGAGAGAGAGAGGTGTGTGTACATGATAAATAAAGTGTGAGACAGAAAGGAGAAAACAAGAATAAGAAGATAAAGGAGAGATGTGTCCGAGTCTAGAAAATCAGTGTTCGAGAAGGGGCTTAGTGTTAAATGTGAATGTGTGTGTATGAATGTGTGTGAATGTGTGTGTGTGTGAGTGGTGTGTGCGAGTGTGTGTGTCATGCAGAAATGATGACCTCAGTATTTCTGTGGCCCCAAAGTGCCTGAAGGCATCTTTTATTAACCAGAGTTCGGCTGAGCTTGACCCATTTGAGATTAAGGTTGCGTGTGAGTTTGCAAACTAACTGCTTGTGTGGATGTGTAGGTGTGTGTGTGTGTGTGTGTGAGGCGGCCGGTGTGTCTCTGCCCACATACAAGTCTGTGTGTGTCTGTGAGCTAAAATCTGGTTGCGGCTTCACATCTCCAAACAGTGTGTGTCATCAAAAACTGTAATTAAAAGTCACTGTGTTTACCCCCCCCCCTGTTTTTCTGTTTACCCCCCCCCCGCTATCTCCTCCACGCTGGCTTCCCATGGTGTAAACACGCCTGTTTTTAATCTACAGCCAGCGGTCCAGATAGGTAGACTCTCATTTCATTACCCGGCAGAGAGGGAGGACAGCCAGCGCCTCCTCTACGCACAAACACTGAGATATAACATGTCCTATTGACTTTCTGTCTGTTTGTCAAAGACATATTAGCACCTGATGAGGAAGATGAAGTGGAGCGAGGAGGCGTGAAGTATCTCGTGTTTACTGGCAGAGGTCGAAAGAAAGCTCGTCTTCATGGATGATAATTTAGTTTCTTTTATATTATTATCAAAAGGTGAAGATACGCTTATGGAAAGAAACTCTTCCTCCAGGTTGTTGTTTTGTAGTTAAAGACACATTTCATAGTTCCCTCTTAAAGGAACAGAAACACACGATTCTCCAGGAACATTAACAGGACTGTAAGGTTTACGTTACGGCCATCACTGCAGTTTGATTTCAACTGTTGGGGGGGGGTTGTTGTCTTTTTAGTGAATTCCAAAAATACAAATACAACAATCTTTGCCAGTTGATCGGCGACTATAATAACTATAAACTCTCCTTCAGCTTGTACTCCTGCAGATCCTTCCAGACCCAACGGTTCTCAAGAACCCGACGGCAGAGCTTTCAGGAGACAGATATCAATCGAAGAGCATCTATTGTACAGAGACAGCTGGCTTCCTCTCTCATGAAACATGCAGGTTATGTGTCTCTGTGTGCGTGATCATGGAAAGCTCAGCGGGCAGAGCGAGGTACTGACCCTCCAAGAGTTGGTGGTTCAATTCCCACTGGGGCCCACTCAGGATATAAATACAAGCACTCATGGCAGCGTGTATTTTTGACGAACGGCACACACACGCACACACACACACACACACACACACACACAGGCTGACTTACTGAGACACTCTCCAGTGACGCGGTGGAGGAAAAGCCCCTCCTCGCAGCTCGTCCTGCAGTAGCCGCTCTGTAGGGAGGCCAGCGGGGGGCAGGAGGTGCAGTCGGCCTGGGAGGGACCGGAGCAGGTCTGGCAGGACGGGTGGCATGCTGGGAGGTGGAAGACAGAGGGAGGACAGGGACAAAATGGAGAATGCAGTGAAGTTGTATGAGAACGTAATAGTGTAGGAGACGGGTTCGGCTCCTCTTCCTTCACCGGCTAGTCTCTGACTTTGTCTGCTCTAGTCTTTGGTGCTGGGAGGTAGCGTACGGTTGGTTTATCAGAGCTTGTTTGCTTGACAGCTTCTAGAGAACAACTGCTGCTAGAAAACACTGAGACTGAACCACACAGACAGTAAATGTGCCATAAAAAACAAAACACAAAACGATTAAAAAAAAGAGGCTAAACAGCTCCGTGGAGCCGCAGAGTTGAGGATAATTATTTGTGGCTTTGTTATTACGAGCAGCATCTTTCACATTACTCAGAGTCATTGGATCCATCGCCGTGATATGAAAGTATTGATCGATGGAGCTTTAACTTCGGGCTGTGTCGTATTGCAAAGCATGAAGAAGTCACCAGCATCTAAACTTTGTGGTGAAAGTTCACTCTCTTGAGGACAGGAATACAGTATCTCTTCAGGGTATCTGGGTAAGCTTTCTAATGAGCCAATCAGCAGCGAAGGAGTCCAGGCCAACTCAGCAAACGGGCCCTATTTATTCTGAAGTCCCAGAGGGAAACGGAGTCTGAGCCCATCGCTCTTCCTTACGTCTGCGTCTGCCATTTCAATTACTCAGCCAAAGTTTGGAGGAATAAAGATAATGTATGAAGGGATTCAATGACAACAGGTTTCTGTCTCTCTCAAGATAAACTATAAAGATTCTGTGTGCTGGTAGACGGGAGCTGGGAGGGGTCGTGTTGCTTCAAACCGAGCCGATGTGATGAATGGGAGATAAGAGCAAATGGATTTTCATTAACAAGGTGGCTCATGGGGGGGGGGGGGGGGCGAGCATCAAGAATAACTCTATAGAAACAGACCATCTTCTCTCTGATGGTCTCGTTTACTGATGGAGGTCTGATGGAGGACCAGGACTACACTGAGACTGGTTCAGGACCAGTTAAAAGCTCCTCACAGTCATCTTGAATGCAGACCTTTGCTTGTGAGTATTTCTACACTGTGTTACTGCTACTTCTACTATTGCGCTGCTCTTGCACAGCTATCTTTGTGAGGACCAGCTTCTGACCTTAAAGGAGGACATCTTCATGAAGTGAGGACATTTCATCCAGTCCTCACTTCTTCAAAGGGCTGCATGAGAGTTTTAGGGTTACGGTTTTCTCAGGAACAAGAGGATGCATCGTGTAAATGTGTGTGCTCAAGTAAAGACTAAGAATGTGTGTGTGTGTGTGTGTGTGTGCTCTCACCTTCGCACAGGTTGCTCTGGATGAAGAAGCCTTGTGGGCTGGTGGGGACACAGCGGCCCTCGTGCAAGCAGGACGGGGAGAGACAGGCTGTACAGTTGTCTGCAGATGAACCGGTACAGTGCCAGCAGGAGGGATGACACTCTGAGGACACAGACGGCTCATTTTATATTCACCACAGACAGAAGAGGATGCTCGCTCCTCAACTGTGCCGCCTCACTACTTAACCAGGAGCGTCCTGTCATGTTGATGTTTACCTTCTCAGAGAGCGATGTCACTGATTTATTACTTCACTGTTTTTAGGTTTTGAAAGTGTTATTATTTTTATGATCATAAGCTTTTTTCTTTATTAAAGAACACAAAACATTCATCTCCGAATGAGCAGAAACGATTTAACTTTTAGCTGATTTCCATCTGAAGTCATTAATTTACATGCAACACCATGACATGGTCTCCATCACACTAACAACTACACAGACTACAGTCTACCAGCACATATCAACAGATAGATGAGGGCACAACCATTCAGTACAACTGTACACTTACACTTACAATTCATCCCAATTAAACACCTGAATCACAGTCAAATTAATATCGACGTCACTGGTTGCTCAATATTCATGTTGTTGCATCATGGGACAGAGAATGAGAGCGTGTGCAGGTTTTAAATCCAACGCTGGATGAAGTGAAATGAAAGAGCAGATTGTGGTTCTGCCCACTTTCTCAGAGCGGAGCTACAAAAGGATCCTTGAGCAGCTTTGTGTGATATCCTGAATATCGATCGGGCTTCTGGAGACAGAATGAGACTTAAGAGGTTGGTTTTTGGACCAAATGTTACAATGACGGCGATTTAATGATCAAAAAACCCTTTATGGTTGTTTTGAGTGCGGTCTTACTGGTCTGGGATCAGCCGGCTATACAACAATGAAGATGCAGAAGAATCACAGCGTACAAACATGTTTGTGCTGCTTTTCTTTACAAGGTTACTTTATTTGTCTTTGAACAAAAGGGCTGCACAACAAAATTCAGATTGAAGTTCAAAGATTGACTTTCAACATTTAACAACGTCAATGTTCTACTCATAGTTGTGTTTTCTGCTGCTCCTTAACGCAGCTTTGATCTATCGAACTCTAAATGTAGCTTCATCTGACGAGGGTTTGGCCACTGCTGCAACATTTCTGTGCTTCTTGTGTCGTTCACCCTTCCCTTACCCTTCCCTCTCTCTCTCACACACACACACACACACACACACACATCCCCCCCCACATAGTGCTGCCCTGAAACAGGCCTTTTGTGCAGCTCTAGATGTCTGCTTTGGCTGCACTATTTTGGCAAATAGTTGAGCGGCGATAGAGGAGCCATGAGCCGACCTGCTGGTGGCGTCGGTGGGGATGAGAGACAAAGGGCCTGTCACCATCTACTGTGTGTGTGTGTGTGTGTGTGTGCACTGCATGACTTATTTTAAGTGTATAGAAAATACAATCAAGTATGTGTGAGTTTATAATTACTCCTCTCTGGGTTCTTTCACAGGGCTGTCAGCTGTATCCGGGTCTTGTGTACTCTGCATGACAGCCACTGGCAGGAACAGACTGGTGCTCTACCTGAGCCAACACTGCAGCGTGTGTGTGTGTGTCTGTGTGTGTGTGTCAACCATACAGAAAACATTTACCCCATGGGAACACCTCAGCGTCAGAGCGAGGACCTTGAAAAGTCACAACAGTGTCAGTCGAAGCGGTCAATCATCGCCCACCTTCTTCACAGCCGCCTGTACCCATAATCCCCTTCTTCCTCCCAGAAATGTGGCAACTTTAATGGTTGGCTGAGATGATAAGACGGACTATAAGTTACCACAACAACAAGTGTGTACATCCATGAATACACACACAACAAACGCTCATAAACGCAGTTTACACAAACCTTAATATCACCAGCAGAAAAACAAACACTCAGAGGCGAGTTGAACAGGCTTCATGTCAAACTTCATAAATAAGAGGAGAGAAGAAGAACCTCCTGTCTCCCCCAAACACACAAACAACAGTGCAGTTTAAAAGGCTCAGAGGCTCTCCATGTCTCTGACATCATCCAGCACAGCTCAGGTGCGTGTTGACACTTCCTGTAAGCGCCGGTGAGCTTGCGGCTCGACCTGTCGACGGAGCGGCATCGAACCTCCTACACACCGACTATCTCTGTCTGCACCGGAGGGCTGCAGACTGCAGAGGAGGTCGGCTTTGTCTTTCAGTCCTGCTCTCAGACTCCTGACAGCTCGTCAGCTCAGACCCACTCACTGTGTGTGTGTGTGTGTGTGTGTGTGTGTGAGAGAGAGTCTAATGTGCATGTTTACATGCCGTCCTCCCCCGCTTCAGGACAGTAGCTGCTGAGGAGGTCTGAGTATCTGCCAGAGCAACTCTAACACACACACACACACACGCACACACACTCGCACACTTGTACGACAGCCTCCATTGTTCCCATCCAAACACCTGAACCCACTGACACTCCACTGAGGGAAACCTTTGCTGAATGGAAGAACTCTGTGTTTCTGTGGAGTGGAGCTTTGACGACTCGTCGTTTATCCCGCTGATCCTGGGATCGCTGTGTCGAGCCTCGTTTAGGAGGTTTAGGGGTGAAAGAGAAGCGGCGGACATGTTGGCTGATGAACAACGTGACTCTGTGCTGAGACAAGCAGTTCTAATCCAATGTTCTTTCTTTTTCTTTTTTTTACAAAGATTTGTTTCCAAAGCGTGAGCAGGACAAAGGCACAAATCCAATATCTGATTTTTTTTTAGATGTTGCTGAGACATAACTCAAATCACATGACTGAAAACGCTGCTCAGTACATAAACGGGTTTTTATTGGCCGATTCCCTTCGTCGCTTGTAAGCCATAACTGAAACAAGTCGAGCACACAACATCAAACACGTAGAGAGAGATGCAGAGCGTGACGTGACGTTGGCAGTCTAAGCCTGGGTCGCACCAACGAGGATTCATTTAATCTAAGACTAGTTCTAGTCGGAGTTCAGCAAAACTGGGTTTAAAATGAGTAAATCCAGATTTTAAATAAAGCAGAGCTCTGCTGCACAATTGTGCTCTAACCTCCTGAACTACTAATCTCTGTTGAGTTAACCAGAGCCTGATGAACCCAGGTAAATGACAGAAGTGCTCACTTGCACTGGAACAACGTTAAGCGTCCTTTACAGCTGCTTTTCTGCTCCTGTTGCTGGTTCATCAGGTGTTTGTGTTTGATTCTGTCTCTGTAGTCAGTGAGAATGTTTGCTTTGCCAGACTTTCCATTGAGTAACAACAGCCTTTAATTTACCCCCCCCGTATTGGCTCAGTGTTGGTCCCCTGCGATCACGTCGATGAGTGGGTGCTACAGGACGCTCTAACCCAACTACTACGCATCGATTTGAGATTGTCTCTTCCAGCACGATTAAGGGAATCCAATAACAGCTAACAGCTATTCCAGGTAGAGTAAGTGAATCTGCTCCGGGGGCCCGCCCCGTTCTGAACTTATGAAAAGTAAACTGTTGTGAGGAGACGGATCAGCTACGACCTACAAGGCTTCGGGCTCAAGTTTCCTAGAATTGAAGCGATGCAGAGACTCATCACTCGTACATTTAATTTGCAGGCTGCTCAAGTGTGACGCAAAGTGAGGAATTTGACTTTCTGTATTGTGAAAGAAAGGAGCCCAGAGGCTGCACAGATCCATTATTCAGGAGGTAAAAAAGCATGATAAATAATTTGCGTCAAGCTGAATAATTTTGTGTCTCCAAAGAGAGGCGGCAAACTGCGATTTTCGAGACCCGCTCACTTTCTTCACAAAGGAAACAGCACAGGAAGTGTGTGGGGGGGGGGGGGCGAAAAGTACCGACAACAGCAGCAACAAATTACAATGTTCCCGAGCTTCAGGAATCCAGGAAGCCGTGCAGACTTTCCTTCAGAGCGCCCTGTAATTGACGAGTGCTCGCTGCTTGTAGCACAGCTGTGAGCAGACGCTGAGGACTTATCTGCAAAGCCGTGGGAAAGCCCATTACACCTACCCAGAATGCAACCTGCCTTGTCTTCAAACTCCTCATGTCTCGTACGTCACGCTGAAGTCAAAGAAGTGAGAAAGGCAGAAAAAAAAATAACCCAATATCTTCTGTTCAGTTTCAGGCTTTTATGATAAATAATAGTTCATTTAAATTATGAATCATTATGATTATTATTATGATGATTATGATATGAACATAATATAATGACATGTAAATATATTGTTATTATTATTATTATTATTAGGATATTGCTGTTGAAGCGTATATATATTTATTAACACTGGACTACATCTTTTGTCTTTCACATCTCATAGACTCTCAGTCGTATACTGTTGCCTCTTATACAAACACACACACACACACACACACACACACACACACACACACACACTCTACGTAACCCAATCTAATTATATCTATAGTCCCGGATTCTTATCATTGAATTACCTACAGTACGTCATCGTAACTGCTCTATGTTATTGTCTTTACGTTGATTTTCCATGTTTATATCAATTAATGTTTTTTTGTCACAATGCTTCACTCTTCCACCAAGTTGAATGAAAGTCGTGCCGGTAGTTTTTCTATAATCTTGCTGACAAACAAACATAAAAAAGAAACCAGAGCCAGAAAGCAGAACCTCCTTGGTGGTAGTAAGGTAGCATCACCAAAAACAAACAAGACTAAACTACTCAAAAAAATGAAAATGAAAAGATAGAATACACAAATTCTGTTCATGAAAATCTAGAGAAACAACCTCCTTCTTTCCTGGAGACATTCAACATCTCATGCTATCAGAACCACTCTCACCGATGCACTCCACAGTCTGTGAAGTACATTCAACCTGAACGTAAGCAGCAGCTTGATCTCATTTCAGCTCAGAGCCGACGAGAAGTGAGCCGAACAAAACGCCAGCGTTGGCTTCGGCTCCACGAAGAGACAGCAGGTAGAACAAATACCCTCCTGTCTGCCAATAACACCGACTGCAGGATGGTCGCTGGGTACAAAGACTGAGGAGGGAGGAGAGATGATGGGCGAGCGGCTAAATGGATAGAATTTCACAGCACACGGTTAGACGGTACGAGGGAGGTAAAGAAAACCGATCAGTCTTTTTATCTCCCTTCTCCTCTTCCTTGTCGTCCCGCTTCATTAAAAAACACAAAAAAACCATCCCCTGGCTGTCTGGCAAGGAGGTGGTGTGTGTGTGTGTGTGTGTGTGTGTGTGTGTGTGTGTGTGTGTGTGTGTTGGTAGGCGGGTGATAATTATTAAAAATGAGCCTGTTACATGCACAATTTCACACTCACAAACAACCTAATCAGGTGTCTCCACACACACACACACACACACACACACACACACACACACACACACACTCACACACTATCTTTATTCTCCAAACAGAAACACACCCACAGAGTCTAGACACACACACACACACTACTCTGCATACCTTCCAAACACCAAATCAAGAATAAACTTTGAGTTTTGTGCCAAAATGACCAAGAGAGGAAACTCTTAGAGCTCCAGCATGTTGCTGGAACAGCTGCACTAAATCTACAGTCTACTAGGGCTGCACAATATACTGTATATATATATATATATATATATATATATATGTTCCTCACATCCTGCAGTAAACTACTAATTACTCATTTCAGCAATAAAAGATACTTTTCCCTTTTTAAGTTTTCTCTTAACTTCTGATCGATTCTGTTTACTCTGTGAGCGAAATTTAAAATAAATGTAAAAAGCCAGTATTAAACCGGAAAGTCACTTAACATTTGGCTGCAACTAATGTTTATTTTCATCACTGATTACTCCATTGATTTTGTTTTTTATTAAGGACACTAATCGATGTGTCCTTGAGCAAGACACTTAACCCCAAAATTGCTCCCGTAGCTGTGCCTACGGTGTAGAAATGTGATAGCCTCTGAATTGTAAGTCGCTTTGGATAAAAGTGTCTGCTAAATGACTGTAATGTAATGCTTTCATTGAGCCTGAACAAACAACATCAGTGTCACCCGATCGGCTTTTAAACCCACAGTGACTCGTGATGGACTTGCTGATTAGCTCGTTAACTAGCTAACAGCTCTCAGCAGGAGGCAGAGACAGCGCCGGCTCACCCTCACAGCTGCTGATCCTCTACAATGAAGGAGGAAATGAAACCTCCTGCACTCACCTCTGCATGTATGCATGTAGTCCGGGAAGCTGCGTGCAGGACACCCGGACGTGCAGACGCCGTGCTGCAGGTGAGCGGACTGCAGCAGGAGGGCCTCCGCTGGTTTCGGACATTGGACGCAGTCCGAGGCCAGCGGTCCCACGCAGGAGCGACAGGAGGGGTGACAATCTGAAAGCAGGGGACGTGAAAGGGTCATGTATTTACTTGTACGATCTTAAAGTAAGCTTTGGTTTAAGCTCTTACTGTGGCAGGTGTCGTCCTGGGAGTAGAGCCCCTCCCCACAGGCCTCCACACACTGGCCCTGGTGGAGCAGGAGCCCACCTGGACACGAGGTACACTGGGATACCGAGGAGCCCCAACAGGAGGCGCAGGAGCTGTGGCAGGCTGAAGAGAGTCGGTGTGAAGGCGGTTAATACGTTCTCTTCTTCATGGTTACACATTTAACGGTCTTTTTGTGCTGGAGAGCGGTCCTACCTCTGCATCTGCTGTGGCTGTCCAGGTAATGCTGAGCTGGACACTGGGAAATACACTTCCCATGATGCAAGGCGGTCCCCGGCAGACAGCTCATGCACATGGGGTTGTCAGGGAAACAGGAGGCACAGGACGAATCACAGGCTGTGAAACCGAAGCGTGTGAATGTTAATGGACCAGATAACACCGTAAGTAGGACCTAAGCTTCTCCAGTCAATCGATACCTGCAATCAGGCCTGTTTGTGCCCACATCTAAAAACACACAACAACAATCATGTCAAGCGTTCTTAAAACACGACGTGTGATGTCATTAAAAAGCTGCTTTTTTTTGGTTCCAGCTGGAAACCAACTTTTTGGTACCGAACCAATTTATTTTTTGTTGAAATGCAGAAACAGTTCAACGTTCGGTGCGACAGGAGGTTTATTTTCAGTTTCTTGAAACTGAAAAAGGTTTTGTATTGAGAACCACCGAGGAAGTCAGTCCAACTTTTTGTTTTAATTGTTAAAGTGTGTTGTTTGCCATAGTTATAGATTTAAAAGTGATAAAAAGTTGAGTTAAAAACAGAATGTGTCCAGAAAACAAAATGAACTTATTTAGGGAGCATGAAGTGTGTGTGTGTGTGTGTGTGTGTGTGTGTGTAGACTTCCACATTGACATGACCTGTTGTCACGCACACATGCTCAGACAGATCTTTGCCTCCATCTAAACGGAGGCTGAAATCAGTGAGAGGTATTCCTACGGCATGCCGGAGGGGACATAAACAAGCAAAGCTGTCAAATCTAACCCAGGAAGCCCTGCGGAGGAAAACGGAGAAGTTAAAAACCCTTCAGCTCTCTCTCCGGGTGTTGACATTTAAAACCAGACCTCAAAGCAACACACTGGCAAGTTCTAATGGATGTGACCTTTTTCCCAGAAAGTTGCCCAGGTTTCTGACATTTCCTAAAGAAGAGGGGCTCCTCGCTGAGTGCTTCAAGTCTTCCTCGTGAGCCGGAGGAGTTGAAGAGTCTCCCTCATCAACCCCTCCAGGTGGCTCTAACCAAAAAGAAGGAGCTCAGCTCATCGTCGCCCCGAAGGAGGGAGCCTCGTCTGGCCTCTTCTTCATCTTACCACTCAGAAATAGAAACCATCCATATTCATGCAGGATCTCCTTATTCACAGAGCTTCTGGATCCTCATTAGTGCGAGAGAGAACTGCTAATTAGCCTACTGTATCTTTCTTATTGTTTGTTTTCTAACTCTGACTACTGCTGACTTCATCGCTTTAGCACCGTGTGGAGTCAGCGCTGGCAAGAAGCTCCACAGGGAGGCTAAAAAAAAACAACACGAGCCCAAACAAGCCTTCACCTCCGGTTGACTGCCAACACTCAACCGCTCATCGTCTCAGGTTGTGTTTTCTCTTCACAGCCTTGGCACATTCTGTGACACTTCATTTCTCTGTTTCAATATCAACTTTCCCTCGTCATGAAGTGAGGCTGCAGAGGAACACGCTGCAGACGGATCACCTTCAATATCACACGTTCTGCAGCCCTATTGACGATGAATGAATTGTGCTTTATTCTTTTTAGCCTATTTCTCAGAAATCAGACCCGACATGTTTATTTTCAGACATTTTAAGGATTTAGAATGAAACTCCACTCTTCCTATTTCTAAGGATAATTAAAGGCAAACATGCCGACTAAAGGCCGTCACATTGAAATACTTTCTGTGCAGCAGAATGATATATAACAGCAGATTTACCTGAAAGCCTTCTGCAATTTGAAGATGCTCTGTTGAAAAGCCTTTACTTTGTATTACAGATGAACCCGACTGTCCCATTAGTGCAGGAAATAAGACCAGAATGCAGTGCGGGATGTGCTCTCTGTGAGGCTGAATGTGATATGTTTATGGGTCTGTTTTGAGGGGATTCTGGGAAACACAGAAAACTAGTAATTGAAGTAGATAATTCAGGTTAAAGACGATATTTATGTGTGTTGGGTTAAAGGGCCGGTGGGAGTATTCCTCTTATTCCTAAAATACAAATACTGATAAAAAGATAACCTGCTACACATCAATGACACACCTTCTGTTTTATTTAACAGTGTCTAAACGGGTCAACTTTACCGTAGCAGACGTCTTCTTGACTGTAGAAGCCGGCGCCACAGTCGGGAACACATTCCCCGTCTTTGAGCAAGGCAGCCGGGTCCGAACACGACACGCACTCCTGCTGGGTCGGCCCGCGGCACTCTGAGCAGGACCCGTCACAGCCTGGTGGGAAGAACAGGGAAATGATGTCTGTCTTTAGAATTCGTCTGTTTTTGTTCAATAAACATAGGAAGAGGAAATACAAAGAATACGGACAAAGAAACCTAAAGAAATAGGAGAAATATGTAGAACATGAGAGTTTAGAGCAGTGTTGGGTTCAGAGATGTTGATCGGGGGGGATGTGCAAAAGTGTGTTAGAGAATTCATGTAATGCACGGAGACAGATGATGATGAGACACACTGTACCTGAGAGGAAACTGTTGTTGTGGTATTTACTGTGTATCGTCAGTGTGAAATAGTCTGAAGGCGAGACCCCCCAGGCAAAAAATATTGCTTTATATGCATTGGGCTATTTTGGGCTATTTTGGGCTATTTCGCTTCCATAACACGTCTTCTTTCAGACTAGTGGAGAGAAAACATCCAAAATACACATTCAGGTTTTTATTTTACTACTTTGTCTGTTTGCGTCTGTAGATTTCTGCTAAAATCACCAACAGTTACCGTTAGATAACACCTCATTTGCATATTTAAACACAACTTGTAATAGAATAAATACTCCTCTTAATGTGAGTGATGAAGTGGTGAAGTTTGATGGTGATATCTATGAGTTCATGTTGTGACTCTATTCACCTGTAGAG